TTTTTTCTTATTATATTTCTTTAATATCATATATCATGTAATTATAAATTTATCATTTTAAGTAATATTATTTTTTTATTAAACATTTAAAATTTAAATGTTATATTGATCTCAACTAATTTAAAATTAAATTACAATGAATCACATAAAATTTTTTTTAATATCTATTACTCTATTTATTAAATTTAAATTTAAGACTTTATTTAAATAATATTTTCACCCAAATGTATGATTTTATTTTATTTAGATTTTATTTAATTCAAAAAATTAAATGATCAAATAAGTCAAAATTTCCACTCAAATATTTAATTCCTTTGCAATATAAGCATGATATGGCAATATTTTGCCATCCAAGCAGCTAAGCATAAACCGCAGTTAAGTTGGCCTGAGAAGAAGGGCTTAATTGCTTTGAGAGCAGAGTTTAAGGGTTTATATGTATCAATTAAATTTTAGGAGCTTAATGACGATTCTGGGGTTAGTTCAGGGGCTTAACTTATGGTTTTGCCAAAAAAATAATTTTAAGTTGCGTGTAGACCATTCTTACGTCACAAAATACAAAAGAGTTACATAAACTGAAAATAAATAATAATAATTAAACGGGAAAGGGAACAAGAAAACAAAAAGAGGGAAAATCAATCGGGTTTTAAAATGGTTTGATTTTGAAAAAGCGAATTTGGGCTTAAGATGCTCAACCCAAAAGCTGAAACATCATGTTTCTCCATTTAAATAGGTCCAATTCCAGACAGCTAATCTGGCTTAAATGGTGAGGGAAGAGAGAAAACCCACACGAAAGAGGAAAGGGGGAACCCTCTATTTCTTTTTTCCTCCTCTTCACTCCTCATTTCGACTTATTTGATGGCAAAAGAGACTATTCTTTTCTTAGAAGAGGAAATATGCTATGTATTATATATAATTCTAAAGAAATCTAAGTTGCTACCACAAAGGAATAATACGTAAACTGATTAACTAACAGCAATGGAGGAGAAGAATATTTGTGTTTTAAGAAAGATATAATGCATGGTGATCCTTTATCTTTTCCTCCTTATCACTCATCCCTTTCTTTTCCTTCATTCGTTGGACAAGCACTAATGTTCAACCTTCACCTTCTATTGTCTGCATGTATAAATGTTGCCTGTAGCTATTTTCTACCCCTTTCACATTGTTCTCTCTTCTTTTGTGCTATACAATCTCCAAGCATTTCTCTCTTCCAAACTACTGAAGCAAATATGGCTGACCTTATTCTTGGTCCTCTTGTGGATGTCACAATATCCAAGGTGATTTCAGTTACTACCAAGCAACTCAACTTAGCAGTGGGATTCAAGCAGGAGCTCAAGAAGTTTCGTGTGGTGCTGAGCATGGTAAGGGGCGTGCTGCAAGATGCAGAAGAGAAGAAGGTGACGGGTTACTCTGATCAGCAACCTTGGCTTAAGGAGCTTGGAAATATAGTTGATGAAGCTGACAATGTGGTAGATGAGATTGCATATGAACATCTAAGGTACAAGGTGGCTCAAAAACAAATGTGGAAAAAGGTCAGCTATTTCTTTACTCTTTCTAATCCTTTAGCTTTTCGCCTTAAGATAGCTAACAGGATTAAGGATTTGAATCTAGCTAGCCTTAATGATTGGGCCACTAGACTAGGGCTTCAACATAGACTTGCAAACAAGCTTCCTGACCATGTAGGAATCCAACAGACAAATTCATCACTTGGTGATCCATCGGAAATTGTAGGAAGAGGAAAAAAAGTCCAAGAGGTAGTTCGGTTGTTGATTGATTCAAGTGATGATCAACGTCTCCCTGTTGTATCCATAGTTGGTATGGGAGGCATAGGCAAAACTAGTGTACAACATGTACCAAAAAAAAAACTAGTGTACAACAATGAGCTGACAGAGAAACATTTTCACAAAAAAATGTGGGTTTGTGTTTCTGAAAATTTTGATGAGAAACAAATATTAGCAATGATGCTGAAACCTCTCATCACTAATGAGAATGATCATGTGGATTTTGAAAATCAAGAAGCTGTAGTTCAGAAACTTAAAAAAATGCTTGAGGAGAAAAACTATCTCCTCATTCTAGATGATGTATGGAATGAAGAAAAGCCAAAATGGGATAACTTAAGAAATTGTTTGTTGGGAATAGGACAAAGGGGTGGGAGTAGGGTTCTTGTCACAACTAGAATTGAGAAAGTAGATTCCATAATGGGAACCAAGCACGTGCATCTTGACAAGCTAACATATGAGAATTGTTGGTCTATTATCAAGCTTAGAGCATTTGGCAACTCTCCTAATTCTTTGGAATTGAAGGAATTGGAGACTATTGGATTGAACATTGCTGAGAAATGTAAAGGGGTGGCATTGTGCAATAATATAAACAAAGACTATTGGACATCAATTAGAGATAACAAGGAAATATGGGATTCAATAGAAAAGGCTGATGGAGTTTTGCATGTATTACAATTGAGTTTTGATCGCTTGCCAATACCTGCTTTAAAACAATGTTTTGCTTTTTGCTCTATTTTCCCCTAAGACTTTGCCATAGAAAAGGAGATGTTAATCCAGCTCTGGATGGGTGAAGGATATCCTCAACCGTCTAGAAAAAGCAACAAGGAGATGGAAGATATTGGTGGCAAGTATTTTAATGACTTGTTCTCATACCCCTTATTTCAAGATGCAGAAAAAGACTCTTATGGTAGTATTATTGCTTGCAAAATGCATGATTTAATACATGATCTAGCACAATCTGTTTCAGAGTCTCAAACGGTGATCTTGGAGGATGGTAGTAGTAGTGATATTCCTGTAGACATTAGGCATTTAAATCTCATTTCTAAGAAGGGTATGGCAGCACTGGAAATAGGGGAACTGCGTACCTTGTTTTCACGAGTTCATGTCTTTCAAAATAAGCTTGGAAACTTCAGAAAGGTGCGGGTACTTAGTTTCTGTGGTGCTAATATTGAGGAGTTGCCAGCTTTTTTGGGGAAAATGAAGCATTTAAGGTCTATCCCCTCTTTTCTCACTCTCAGTGATTCCTACTCTTTTCTTCTTTTCTAGAATGGAGCTACTTACTCCGGTTGCCATAGCCGGTGCCACTCTGTCGATCCTCTGGTAAGTCTTAGATCTACTTTTTCATTTTTATTTTCTTCGTTATTTATAGAACTCAGATCTACTTATTCCTCTGTTCTTTGCAAATTCAAATCTGCTTTTCTAATGTTTAACATTTTGGTAGCTTCTTGTTGGCTGGAAAATGATGGGCTATTTTGCTGGATTTGAATTTTACCTGAATTTTCTATTCTTTGCCCATAGAATGGTTGCAGCTTGTGGATGCTATTTTCAGTTTGTTTTCTTGAAATTTCGACTTAGATTAAACTCTGCTCTACTCCTCCCGTGAATAGTTGGCCACCGATGCTCACGGGTTTGCACTTTACAGGAGCAACCCAAAAAAGTACACCATCATCTCTAGAGTCTGGACCAATAGTGATTATCCAAAATACTTCTAAATCCAAGTTATCATATAAAATTCTTTGATAAAAATTTTATTTCCTTATCTAAGTTTGCATTCATGTCAATCGTGATGGGTTACTTTTAATTGCTGAATTCATGTCAATTACCCAACCTGAATTCTTTCAGTATTATATGGTTCTTCATATGTTAAATTTCAACCTATTAGCTTTCTTGTATTCTTGTGATGGGGTTGTGTGCTCAGAAGATGCCTCTTTTTGTCATAGCAGTGCGGTCTTCAGCAAGGAAGGTATATGAGCTGATGATTTAGGGAGGTAGTTTAGGAATGGTCGGGTTAATTAGGGAGTTTTAAGGAAGAATGAACCTCCCCTGCTATGTGTAAGGTGTTATCATGATTTGCATCATTCCTCACTATTGGACCAATAGTGTAATTATTTTTTCTTGTCAGTGCCATTTCACCAGTCAAAATTAACAGAATTGTTAACTGACGGTGAGTGATTAACGGTTGCAACTTAAATGAAAGTTAGGTGAACAGATTTTTATCATTTTTATTATGATATTCTCCCTGCCTTTTCATTAACAGTCCTCACCAATCTGAACAGATTTTTTCCTTTTTCATTTCCAATTATTATTATTTTGGCTTAATCGATGAATGGTTTTCAAGAAGAAAACAAAAATTGACTCCTTTTTTCTCTCAATTGACAAAATAGATGTCTTTGGTTTGGATTGATATCTTTCTTTAAGTTCTCTTACCTTATTTTCTTAACCTAAGTGAGAAGTGTTAGCATATGAGTCTGGCTTTTAATGTTAAGTTTTTATGTTCTTGTATTTTCAATTCATATGACAGTTTGATTCTGCAACAGATCCTCATAAACTATATGTAGAGTCCATATAACAGAGACTAAAAATGCTGTGATTTTCCTTGCCATAGAGAGCTGATTTGCATGTAACAAGTACTGATTGTTTGGCATCGCATAGAGGAAATTCCTTATTTTTTTCTATTTATAAGCATCTTGTGTTGCATAGCTTGTGATTTGGTGGAGTTCTTTGCCGGAAGAGATAGAAAACAAAATAGAAGTTGCGGATGCCTTGGTAGTTATTTTCTTAATCATTTTCTTTTTCATTTGTTTCTTTTTGAATATGTGTTATTTGTATCTATTTCAAATTCTTTTGCTTTGGGCTGCTCACCAAGGTTTTTACTAATTTGTTTTTGTTCTTAATATTTTACTTGGTCTTTGCCTAAAATTCTGTTACCATAATTGAGTTAAACAAGATGGATTCCATGGAGCAACAAATACTTTGGGAGTTTGACTAAGAGGAAGCATATGTGTTTGTAAAGGACTTATTAGGAAAAATCATATGGTATATATAGATAATGGCGACTATTTCAAAGGATTGGTACCATATATGAATGACTATTAATGATAGATTTGGCAATTAGTTTGCACTATTTTTATGAAATTTTTATGTTCATTGTTTTGAAGATCGTAGAATGGGAATTTCATTATTTTCATTTTGCATTATATTCTTTTTATTTTGTTCTTCAATCTTAGTTTTTTATTTAAATTTTTTATGAATTATTTTGATAAATTTGACTCTTTTTTTTTTGTAATTTATGATTTTTTAATGTACAATTTATTTGATTTATTTATAAACTT